GATCAGGGTTTAGGGTGCCCTAAACCCTACTTGGAGGTTCATGGGCAGTTATAAGTGGGGTCATAAGTAGGGTAACTGTAATTATAACCCATATTCGGGGACTTGTAACCCCATTTAAAACTATCCATGAACCTCCAAGTATAGCTAGGGTTATAAGTCCCCGAATATGGCTTCTAGCCCTTGCCACCCTACTTCTAACCCCACTTATAGCCAACCATGAACCTCCAAGGATCCCCTAACCCCTAAACCCTAAACCCCACCTATAGCTACCCATAAACCTCCAAGTATCCCTTAACATAGCCCCTAAACCCTACACCCAAAAACCCCACTTGCAGCTACCCATGAATTTTCGAGGATCCCTTAACACAGCCGTTGACGCCGGAAGCCGAGACCCGCAGCAACCAAGGCTTCACCGAGCCCTGCACTCCTCAGAGAGCCAACACCCCTGAATTGAGGAATGCACCTCAACTTAAAGTAACCTTACTTGGAGGTTCATAGGTAGATATAGTTCTGTTATAAGTCCGCTAATATGGGCTGATTATAGTTGCCTTACTTATAACCCAACTTATAACTACCCATGAACCCCAAGTATTATTATGGTTTAAGGTATATATTCCTTATTATTAATGATCGGGGGGGTGGGCTCCCAGGGTCTACGTCCGAGCATCCTTCAGACCACACACCTTCTCGAAGAAGCCGTTCAAGGCGGTCACCAGTGTTAGACCTCAGCTGGGCTTAGGGTTCAGGGTTTAGGGTTTAGGGTTTAGGGTTTAGGGCATCACATACAGCATCAGCAGGGCTACCGACTAAAGGCCTTTTATTTCCACAACTATTGCTGAGTGGGGGCAGAATCCAAGATCTCAGTGCCATGGGGTATGTCCCCGGCTCCATGTATACAAGAAGATGCCTAACCTCATGTCTCTAGTCTCGATTACAGGAGTAAGCATCATAATAAAGGTTAGTCATTTACCTTTATTTTGACTATTCAGTTAAACTAGCTAATCAGTGCTAACAACACTGATTTAACTAACTAAGGATCTGAGTACTGAATTCATTAACCAGCTAACTCGAAACTTAAATTCAAGCTTTCCAGTAATTAGCTTTAACCAGTTATCTAACACACTAAAACATTTATTAACCAACTACGCTTTAATTCACTAGTTTTTACTTCCATTTAAACTGATTAACTATAGGCAATTAAATCACCAACTAATGCATTAATGGGCTAAAGCAACCAAGCAGTAAAGAGTACCACCGCAGGACGAAAGTTCGCCATACTGCCTGTAACTCAACATATGCAGTAGTAGCACCCCCTGTCCCCCTTAATTATACAGACCCCTCGCACAAGATCCCGCAGGCTCTCCCGCCGAGAACGATATAGTAGTATAAATTTGTTCCAGGAAATCAATTACTCCGCCACGCTGGCCACGTAAAACGGCCTGGTCGCCTCTCCGCTTCTCCGCGGTACATGTTCATGGTATTTTGAGACAATCCTCCGTATGTCGAAACTTCTGCCCTGGGGATGTATTCTCAAAAAACACAGGTAACTTCGGGCTCTTTGGACCCCACAAACCGCACCTGTGCGGCAGCCGTTTGAACCTCCGACCTGGCTTTTGCAGGGCTTCGTTAGACGTCACAAAAGGGATAATAAGGAACCACCACAATAGTATAGGTATACCTACAATAAGGAACCCCCACAATAGTATAGGTGATGACGATGCCGTGCTGGACCCCGAAGATGGTAAGGGCTGATGTTTTGCACGGTTTCCTACTGACATCCGAGTACCCATGGTGCAAACGATGTAGTGACAGTCTGTGGTAACCGACACTACTGGTAGAAGACGGCATAAGTGTATGAGAACCAACGATGCAGTCAAAATAAAACCTCGACCTTACAACCTGAGCTCTAATCCTATACCCCCAAACCCTAAACCCCTGAAGCCCTAAACCTTAGCCTAAAGCCCTAGGCCCTAGATCATCCGAACATACCCGAACCCTGCGCTGCCAGGCCCGAAATCCTTCATTCGGCCCTGTACATGCTCCAGATTTGACAGTCCCTATAATATATAAACCCCATTCAGGGTTTTAGGGTTTACCCTAAACCCTAAACCCCAAACCCTAAACCCTAAACCTTAAACCCTAAACCCCTAAACCCCAAACCTTAAACCCTAAACCCCAAACCCCAGATTGCACCCAGGTAGCGAGAGGGCCTCGACCACAGGATCTTTGAGATATTGCAGCTCAAAAACTTCCGCTGCGATGAAATCCTCTCTTTCCCATGGCAGGGCTGCAGACATGCTATATCCGCGGTTTAGGGTTTAGGGTTTATAGGGGCCTTACCAATTAGAACAAAAAGCAAGCTGTTCAAGCTTCCATGTTACTGTGTAAGCGCTGCGTAGTAGTAGAAGATTTAGAGTGAAGCATCAGTTAGAACTAGCTCTTTTCCGGCAGAACACGGTTGGTGTCACTATTGGCTTTCACGTATCTGTTACCCTAAACCCTAAGCCCTAAACCCTGATTTCTTACCCTAGACACCCGAAGCCCTAAATCGTAAACCCGATCTCTGCGAACCCGACTTCCCAGAGTCCCTTCTAACGAAAATCCGGCCTTAATAGTTAGAATAGGGTTTTGGCGGGCCCTTTATACTATATTTATGATACTATATTTTTTTGAAGGAGCCCCCCAAAATAGTATAGGTAATTATTTAGGCTTCTATGTTACGCCCTTTTCGAACCCAGGCTCTTATCATCAGCTGGGAAGTAAACACTAAACCCTAAGCATTGCCAAAGGATCTGCAGTGGACTAAGTGGCACAGGGCTCCCGACCTGAGACGGAGGTAGTTACGAATTTTCTCCTTTTTCCAAGCTAGTGACTACGGTTTAGGGGTTTAGGGTTTAGGGACTAGTTTAGGGATATAATACAAGCTTGTCGAGTTAATGCTGTTCAGGCAGAAGCATTTTGAAAGGATCCACAGAGTAATCACAGGCGCGCATGCGTGTGTGGAAGCGCCTGTTGGTTGACTGGTTGAGGAAGGCTGCTGCCTAGGAGTTCAAAGTATAAGGGTCCATGAAGCGAAAACGCAAATAATGTCATATTTAGAGGATTTTAGAGTGAACTTACATGTATGCTCATGTGATATGATAACAAATGGCGGTGTCAGCCGGATAAGCACAACCCCAGAGCAATTGCCACAGACTTTACCTGCACTCATAAAGAGCCCAACAAGTGAACCAACACCCCTAAAACCCCTTTTTTTCTCACAAGGGACTCGACTGCTGCCCTAAACCCTAAACCCTATAAACCCAGCCTTAAACCTTAAATCCTAAACCGCCCGTCGCATCCGAAGCCAGGCCCCGAGTTCAGTCGCACCTGCATCGGATCGTACAACCATGTCTTGATCTCCCAGGCTCTTCCCGAAGAGATGCCTTCCTTAGCACATACTTAGGGTTTAGGGTTTAGGGTTTAGGGTTTATAGGGTTTAGGGTTTAGGGTTTAGGGGTTACTTAGCACATACCAGCCCCCGGAGCATGAGGACACTGTGCTCCAACATCCTCCGACTCTCAGTTTCGGAACGGCAGGCCAGAATTAGCTGGCTCCTCCGGTTTGCAGCTTGCATGGCCGTCCTCAATGAAACGTAGCAAGGCCACAGACACTCTGCAAACAACTCAACTGCTACTTCTCCCAGGTACTCCTGATGGTCAACATCCAAACCAACACCGAAACGCAGAAACAGGACAGAATCCTCATAGCGCCTGGTGAGAGAAGCTGAGCAATGCACGGAATCACAGAGTGCTGACGGTAGAGTTTGCCACTATGCATTTCACAAAGTTATTTTACTTCCACGTTGCCCTCTCCATGTGCATCGGCCATCCGAGCACGCAGACCCCTTGATGCCAGGTGTCTCGCATTGCAGGGTAGTATTTCCGATAGAACCGATCGAACCTCAACAAGTGAGAATTCAGCATCGCTGCGCTGGTGTGCTTTCTTTCGTCAGAGCAACATGTCGAAGCGCAAAAGTCTGAAGTGCAGCTATCCTTAGGAAGAGCTGAGATTGAGTCTTTTGTACCTACATAACATATATATATATATATATATATAAATACATGTATATATACACATGTATATATATATATATACAGGTTTACATACATACATACATACGATTTCTTTAGTCTGTACGGGTGTAAGATCCAGGGTAAGGTCACGAACCGAACACGTCTCTACCTGAAATGTTTTTTTTAACCAAGTTCCTTAACAAGAACCACGCCAACCATGTGTGTAGTTCTCGAAACAAGTGTCCCGTTTAAGGAACGTAAGAAGGCAGCACCCTTGCAAAAAGGGCACGCTAAAAGGGACCCTATTCAGGGACCGATCATATGTCAGCTTGAATCAAGCTGTTACTACAACAGGTGGAAGGTGCAGTCCGCTGGATATGTTGCCCTAAGGATTCATGTACCTAAATAGTGTGTATATATATACACACACACCCTTTATAATTGTAGATGTAGTAGTTGTTGATTATTCATATAATTAGTCTTATCATTAGTGTATATATATATATATATATATACACATAGCTTGGCCCTATAAAGTACCTGAATAGTATAGGCACTAAAGTAAGGCCAAAGTATACACTATTTCGGCACATGGAACCGTAGAGTTGTAGCGTTTACAAAACATGAACAGCTTGCAGCATAAACGATGATGGAAAGGATGTGTCACGCTCCAGGGGGTTAATGGGATTCGGGTAAGTGATCAAACTCTAGCTTGCTCGTCCGCTGCTACATGGACAACTGGCAGCCGGAGGAAATCCAGGTGGATTGTCTGTCATATTTGAAGAGGCCTTCTCCACTATATCTAAGCATGTTGAACAACATCCCATGACAAGGATGTGCTTTTGGACTAACCTCCTGTCTGCCATTGCCATCATGGTCTTTGTCGAATTTTGACCAGCACCTGCTTACAGACCCCGAGCTCTTGTGACGTATTTCTGAATGTAGGTAGCTACCCGCCAATCGTTACACAGCATTAGATGCACACGAACGTCGTGAAGCTTGACGAAAATATACCAAGCAACTTGCGAAACTCGATGTGATTCTGCAGGTACGGACCCAGGGTTGCGTTTGGCATCCGCTGCAGGTACCTCTGAACATACCGAAATCCTGCTTGTGTTGGAGAACTTCCTAGCAGTTCTATGAGCGCATTGTAGCCTGGATCAAATGTGCATTTGGGACAAGCCTAACACGGCTCTCAGCTGTATGACCTTCCCGACAGATCGGCATGGCATGACTCGCAAAACCCGCAAACTTGTCCTTGCGATCTGCAGCTTAATCCTGCGAAACCGAACTTCATTGAGAGCAGCCCTCAACCCCATGCCCTAAACACTAAAGCCTCTAGGCCCCAAACCCCTCAAACCCCCCAAAAAGCAAAACACCCGCTAGCCGTTAAGCTCTCCCAGACAGGAAGCCAAATCAATTCTGCACTGTCGTCGTGAGTGGGGGCTGCTGCAACAGCGCGCCTGATAAGTGAATCTTCGAACCGTGGATGCTTTTTGTCTCGGGTTTCAGGCCTGACCCAGGAACCAGCAATCTGGAATATAACAGACTATAAACATGTGAGGACTACAATTGCATAAGGGGGCCATGCTGCTAATCCTTCCGAAACCTGCGCATTATACAGCTGTTGTAAGTTAACTCCTTAGAGGTTGGAATCTGAGGAACAGGCTGTCCTGCTTTGTCTTGAAAGCTGATGTGTTGGCCACCAGCTACATAAGCCTTCTCCCAGGCACTTCCAAGAAGAGGCTAGAGATTGGGACTGCTTCGATTTCGAGTGTTTAAGAGTTTAGGGCTTAGGGTTTAGGTTTGAGGGTTTAGGGTTAAGGTCCTTGCAAACAAGTTTTCAGCCGAGTAGGTGGGGTTTCCCTGCATAGTAGCGAGCTTGGGCTGAGGAATGATGGTGCATCGAACATGACATGAGAGGCCCAGCATGGGCAAACGTTTTTTGAGCGAGAATGGAGATACAACGCCCGTTCCTGATGCGACTACTGCTACCACTGCTCCCATTACTACTTACTTTCTCCTTTCTCCTACTACTACCTACTACTACTATATACTACTACTACTACTACTACTACTACTACTACCACCACTACCGCTACCACTATCACCACTACCGCTACTTGGCCCCTGGTCGTTCGTAGCAGGTCTCATCTTCGCACCCAAGGGGCTGCAGCGGCTCCTTCATCCAGGCGCGTATCGCCTTTTGCACCTGGCTTCGGAACGTAAGAAAGCCTTAAACCTAAACCCTACGTTCAGTCCCTTCGTCTTGCCGCGCAACGGCTGTCTTGGAACTTAGTCAAGGGGACGTTTGTATCGGTATTTACACTGTTTTAGCGGTTTGCGAAACAGCAAAACCAGTCTTATCCCAAGTCCAATTTTTTTTTTATAAAAATCATAGTTGGCACATGGATGCTCTGTGGGAACGGATGGAGTTTGTGGGAACGTTATCATGGTTGGCACATGGATGCTCTGTGGGAACAGA